ATTTTGGTCTTACTTTTTTTGAAACTCTTTACCCAAAGGAAAAAATGGAAAGTTCAAATAAGTCATAAAGTTCCTCACTATAAGAGAGTGCACAAGCGGCTTTCGTGAATGCAAGTTTGAGCAGTTAAATCAACCGCCATACAGTCAAAACCTGGTCCCAAGTGATAAATTTGAAATCTCTTGCGTGGGACGAGATTCAGGACGACGATGAGCTCAAGGCTACTCAAGTGCATAGACTGCTGAAAATAAAAGTGAGCCAAATGCATTATAAAAGGGAATTAAAAAATGAACTTGAACAATCTATAGATCTGTGAGTTAAACCCTCTGTTTTCCGAACTAATTGAACTCCCCTCGTATATCTTAGGTTGCATACATGGATTTTTGAATTTTTTAAAACTTTCTTATCTTTACGTGAATTAATGATAAAAAGATTTCATTATGTTCTTTACATCTTTGTTGTTAATTTGGATTATTAGATTCCGTAGCCATCATCTTTATCCAATCACAAAACTCGATGTTTGAACTTAGAGAAAGTTATGTTATGATTTGATAAATAAATTCAGGGTCACAAGGTCTTTGTTAAACCTTGTTGATTCTTAAATGTTGAAATAGGATTTAAAAAAATGTAAGACCAAGTAGATAAATTGAAACTGATTATTATGAAAAGTATCTTTACCAGAATTAAGAATGTCTTGATAATAAGAAGTCAAATTATGCTACCTTTTTTCTTTAAAAATGTGAAGTGTACAAATACTGTCTCTCAAACCTAAGTGCTTAGTATTAATGTAGTGATCTGGATGGTTATGCATGAATCACTTCTAAGTACAAATTTAAATTATAATGTTGTAGCGACAATACAAAAACATGAAGGTTTCAGCAAATTCAAATCCCCCTATTAATTATATTGCAAACAATTCATTTTTAGTTCAGCATATGAAAACACAATCTTTAACAAAATGATCAACACGATATTCGACATATTTGAAAAATTCGGGTAAACCTTCCCCCCAGCCCCTTTTATTGTAACTGACGTCGTTCAAAATGACAGAGAAACAGTCCGTCACAATAAATTTCAAATAAGTTATATACAATAAGTAATTACGATTTAGAAATAAGAAAATTTGTATAATAACAAATAAAAAAATATCAAATAACAAAATAAATGACCCTTCAAGGCTTATTTCCTTGCCGGTAACTATTATTTCCTATTATGTATCATTAAAGTAATTGTACCACCGTGCTTTGCCTTGTTTGATTTAAGGTCTCTGTGACCTCTACCTTGGACCTAGTGACCCCAAAATAGTTATAGTTATAGGTGCCATGTGCTTTACCTGACCAATATATATGTGAACTATAAAGCTTTTGCGATTATTAGTTTTCAAGACAATGAGCTGACATTTAAAGGCCCCTATGACCTTAAACTTTGACCTAGTGACCCCAAAATCAATAGACCTTATCTACTAATTATGATCACTCAGTATTTAAAATATTAATACTTGGTGATAAAAGTTTTCAAAATACTTAGCTAGCGGAAACCATTCTGACATTTAAGGCCTCTGTGACCTTGACCTTTGAACTAGTGACCCCAAAATAAAAAAGGGTCATCTAATACATATGACTAATCAATATGTGCAATATGAAGACTTTATGACAAACGGTTTTCAAGTTAATAAGGGAAAATAACCTGACATTTAGGGCTCTTGTGACCCTAAAATCAATAGGGGTCATTGACTAGTAATGGCAAATTAGTATATGAAATATGAAGACTTTATGATTATCAGTTTTTAAGATAATGATCGGAAACAATTCTGACATTAAAGGCCCATGTAACCTTGATCTTTGAACTAATGACCAAGTCATTAACTACACATGATTAATTAATATGTGAAATAAAATGGCTTTGTGGTTAATTGTTTTCAAGATAATGAGCGGAAATCATTCTGACATTTAAGGCCCCTGTGACCTAGACCTTTGAACTAGTGACCCCAAAATCAAAAGGGTCATCTACTACATACGACTAATCAATATGTGAAAAATGATGACTTTATGATAAACGGTTCTCAAGATAATGAGCAGAAACAATTCTGACATTAAAGGCCCCTGTGACCTTTAAACTAGTATCCAAGTCATTTACTACATATGATTAACACTTTTTATGTGAACTATAAAGGCTTATTGATACAAAGTTTTCAAGATAATAAGCGGAAACCATTCTGACATGTAAGGTCCCTGTGACCTATATACCTTTGACCTTGTGACCCCACCATTAAAAGGTGCCATCTACTTTACATGACCAGTCAATGTGTGAAATATGCATGAAGACTTTGTGATAAATAGTTTTAAAGATAATGAGCGGAAACTATTCTGACATTAAAAAGCCCCTGTGACCTTGACCTTTAAACAAGTGACCCCAAAATCAGTAGGGTTCATCTACTAGTTATGACCATTCAATATGTGAAATATGAAGACTTTGTAATAAATTGTTTGAAGATAATGAGCGGAAATCTTTCTGACATTTAAGGCCCCTTTGACCTTGACCTTTAAACTAGTGACACCAAAATAAATAGGGTCATGTACGAAGTATGACTAATCAATATTTAAAATATGAAGACTTTATGATAAAAAAAGTTTTCAAGAAAATAAACGAAAACCATACTTACATTTAAAGCCCTTGACCTTTGACCTAGTAAGAGTAAGATACTTTAGATACGAGTACTAGTTATGACCAAGAAGTATGTGAAATATGAACGCTTTGGGAGATAATCAGTGGAAACCATGTGGTCAACTGACGGACAAACCAACCGACATTAGCATAACAATATACCCCATTTTCTTCGAAGGGGACATAATAAGGTTGAATTTCTCTCTCACTATCACCTCTGTAACGTTAAAAATAATTGTAAAAGATAACTGTAATCTAAATACTTACGTTATAAACCATTTTTCTCCGGAATAAATCGCTATTACTTTCTTAAATATTTATTCTTATTACAGATGATTAAAGTTGTCTAAATGCTGCATAACTTTATCTATATGTTTGTTCATCTTTAATTCCTTTTCTGGTAACGAAGCATCATATTGTCAAGAACCAAGGTGTGCCATTCCTTTTTTTCTGACCCTTTTGTAAAAAATGTTCTCCATGTGGGTCTATACAGTCATTCAAGATCTCCACCAATATATTTGTTCTATCAATAACTGGGTATTTTTGCAGTGTAATTAGTATCTGGAATTATTAGTCCATACTCAATTTTGTTTTTGAATCTTGTGATCCTTATTCAAGACCTATTTAGCCATTATAAGGAAGTTTGTTGCCATCCGCGCACCCAATGTTCATAAACATCAGAGGTCTCATTTCTAATATGTAAAAATATCTTTATAAAATGATTTGGAAATGAAACCTCTACCTCGGCATCCATTGTAGAGTGGCTGGTCCAATGCTTGGTGTAAACTGAAACAAATATTTTGAAAAGAAACAAAAGAAAAAATGAAAGAAAATGCTCCTGCTTATGATATCAAAGAAATGCTTTCTATAATCATCTTCATGCATTGACATAGTCCTTTTTCCTTTCACAACGTACTGAAACCTAGACAATTTTTGAGATTGATATCATGACATGGTTAAGGCCAACTGTTATTCTGAATCAACAAAACGATACATTATCGAAATTTGATATAGATCTTCAAAATGGTATGAGTATGAAACTACGAAAATAATGTAATTCGATGACAAAATGTCCCGATGACCGAGAAGTCGTATCACGACACGAGGCCCATAAAATGTTCATGTAGATTTTTTAGGTTATAACTAGATCATAAAATATTAAACCAGTTTCAACAGCAATGCATGGTGGAAATGTAATTATTGTCATATGATGGTTTTACGGTGACCGTTTGTCATAATTCATGTAAAGTGTGTTTGTTTAAGGTTAGAAATGCTTAAGTTATCACTACAGGTTTCTTTGTATTAAGATTTTCGTATACAGATTTTATATGAGATTTCAATATGACTGCCATTGAAATCCAAGATTTCAGATTCAGAAATCCGGCCGTCTGTCCATTGGAGGATTTCCGATGTTTTATTGGTAGATTTCAAACATCGAACCTTATAAAAGTGGGAGTCCAGCCAATGTTATCACTCCGCTCTTGATCTTCAAGTATAGTATTAAAGTTTTAAACCCGCCAAAGTTCAAATTCAACAGATATCTTACGAAGGCAATTGGTATCAAAACTATTAAGTTGGTATGTATTTATATCCAATATTATTAACTCACTAAACACTGTTGTTGCTGAAAAAAACTTGTGATAAACATAGAAAATAGTATTTATTTTTCCTTTCCTGACATACGATAACAGTAAGTGGATTATTAAACAAACATTGATAAAAAAATTTATTGATGCAAGTTTGTAACAAATGACTCTCTACATAGTTGTCATAATATTTTTGCAACAATATAATGTTTTAATCATGTCAATCTAGGTTACAACTGTGAACATTTTGAAAATCTGATAATATCATCATTTATAGAAAGTCAAATTCTTTTTAAAAAAATCTAAATTAGGTTATGGTCTGTTTCCATTAAGTGTCCGCAAGTGTTTGAAAGTATGTTGTCATGCACAGAGCTATAAGACAAAGTCGCATTAGATTATGTTGATGTTGATATTTGGTAGTAAATAAAAGCATGTATATATACAACAATGTAAATGTATAGATAAGATATACAACTGGCAGCAAGTCTTTCCACATATGACACTCTGAAGGAAATCCCTTCAGCAATAAAGAATAAAGGGGTAAAATAGTTTTATCGTCCAAAAGTTGATAATTCTTTAAAAGATGTGCTATACTTAAAAACGGCACCTTATTTGATGTGTAATATAAGAAGAAAATAGCTAAAAACATTTTCAAAGAAAGTTTTCTTTATCATGTTACGGAAGCATAATACTATGTCAAAAATAATGACTTAAACTATTGCAGTTTACTTCCCTTGAAAGACCGTTAGCTACACGAATTAGTTATTGGTCTATGTTAAAACTTCCTTATCCAAATAATAGAATAAAAACGACAGCGCTTCATGTAAAACCATATTGTTTCACGAATATTTTATGGAGTTAATACACTCTCAATACGATGTAAATATATTTGTTCTCGGTTTCGTTTTAAGAATAAAAACTTAAAAAGTGGGAAAAGTAGCATGTTTATTTTTCATAACTATTCTAACTGATTCATGTTATACTAATATTTTTTACGCATTAGTGCATCTTTTATTTCATCAATATGAATGTATACATTGTCATATTCAGATGAATTCATCATAACTTGTATATAAATATATGTCCAACTTTGTGTCGTCTATTGTTTGCTTCAATTGTTTTCTATATGAAAGCGTATTTGAAGTTTTTGGTTAATCTTTTGATTATATCATAGTCTATTCTTAGACAATAAAGACGTCTGGCTCTGCAAGACATTATCAATCAAAGTTTTGTGTTTGTATTAACTCTACTGATTATGACACAAATTAACAAGGAGGAACATGTACCGTGGTAAGAGTAAAACATAAATGTATATACATATTTTTTTTAAATTCATGCGGTTTTTTTTCTTATAGGAAAGGAGCGTTTTTAGTCTTGCTTATAAGTGCCTTACTGGCATCGGTGGCAATGATAAATTGTGTGGAACGAGATAATGACCTATCTAACACGAATGACGTTTATTGTGACATAACTGAAAATGTTGAAGAATACTTAGCTGATTGTAGTTACAGAAATCTAACTCTGACAGGTTTACATTATGCTTTACCTCCGAATAAAACTTATAAAATAACTGGTTTAAACTTGATTGGCAACTCAATAAAACGACTGAGTAACATGTCATGGGGGGAATATACGTCCCTTCGATATTTATCATTGGCAAACAATGGAATAGAAGTACTGGAAGAAGGTGATTTCAACAATCTGTCTGGACTGGAATTGCTGGACCTTAGCTTGAACCGTATACGGTACACGTGCATTAGTGAACAAGTCTTTACAGTATTAACAAACTTACAATATCTCGACTTAAAGCAAAACCTTACCGATATTTGGCAGAATGAAACATATCCGATCGGACTTTCAAATCTGCGACATTTAAAATTTCTAATGATCGACGGATTAGATAATGGTACTTTGCCTAAGATGAAGAATCTTTCTGAACTTTATCTATCAGGCGAGTATGGTCGCTGTAATATCACAAATTTAACTTCCGGCTATTTTTCAAATGTGCAAAATGTTCAGCATCTTTTTATGTCTAATTGCTCTATCAAACAAATAGTTAATGGAACATTTAGGAATATGTCGATTTTAAGTTCGCTGGACCTTGCTAGAAATATACAATTAGGACTTAAATCAATGGCCAATATAACATTTGGTTTGGACGTGCACGGCTCAATAAAACGACTTAATCTGAACTCCCTGTATGACTATTGTAATTATGACTATTGCGAACATCTAGAGGAGAAGGATTTTAAATATCTCTTTAATACTAGTATAGAGATGTTATTGTTAGAAAAGAATCACCTCGTTCGGATGACAGAAGCGGCTGTAGATTTATTCCCGGAGTCTTTACGATATATGTCTATAAGTGATAACATGTTACTATATGGTAAATATGTAAAGGATTTGATGACCAAACACACAACACATAACTTGGTATATGTGGATACAAGTAAAATGTACAAAACCCATATATCTCTACCGAAGGCCTCTTCTGTGATGTATGAAATAATTGCCACGGAGCTTCACGACGAGGATGGCGTAGCAAAACAATACTGGCCAGAAAAAAGTCAATCCTTCACAAGCTTATACAATGCAATGTTGACGCGTTTAAGAATAAGTGATGATTTTGCAGATATTTGGAACACAATGAGAAAGAATAATATCAGTAATGGTATCGGTACTGCAAACACATCGCTGCAGTTTGCAAAAGCAGATAAACAAGCGCCATGGAAGAGTAAGCTGGAATATCTTGATTTGTCAGATAATCTTCCTGGAGTTATTGAAATGGCTGTTGAAATTTTTAACAGTACACCTAATATAACATTCCTCAATGTATCAAACAATTATCTTGGTTATCCCTTACTTGAAATACATAAAAGCACTGCGTTGTTCGAATCAGCTCAAAAGCTCCGTACATTAGATCTTAGTAACAACGGAATTGGTGCATCGTTACATTCAGATGTCTTTGCTAACTTGTCACAACTGCAGTACTTGTATCTCTCAAACAATAAATTGACCAACATTTCGTTTGAAATTTCACATCTTAAAGAGTTGAAGTATCTCGATCTCAGTTTCAATCATTTGGAAGAAGTTTGTAAGAAGGCTAGACGCTCCCTTGACAATATAAAAGACGTTACACTAAACTTGCAATACAATTCCATGAAGTGCACGTGCAGAAATATAAAATTTGTAAAATGGCTTGAGGAAAATAAGAATAAAATAAAGAACTTGTATGATACAAATTGTACATTGGAAAATGATACATCTGTACCATTGGGCGAACTTGACTTTCATCAATTTTATTTTGAATGTTCTCCTCCAGCATATTACAATATTATTTTAGCTACCAGTCTGTCCATTCTTGCTTTTGTCATCACTGTCACGTGCGGACTTGTCTACAGATTTAAATGGAATTTACGGTATCTATATTACATGACGAAATTCAAATTAGTCGGTGGCTACCAGCCTATTGATGATAGGGAATACGATAAAGATGTTTTCGTGTCGTATGCGAATGAGGACAGAATGTTCGTGCATCAACATGTAGTGAAAGAATTGGAAACAAATGGGAATATATCTTTGTTAGTCCACGACCGTGACTTTAGGGCAGGAGAGTTTGTTGCAGATAACATTATGCGAGCAATCACGTCAACTCGTCGTACACTTGTTGTTTTAACAGAGGCATATATTGGCAGTAAATGGTGCATGTATGAACTGAACATGGCAACTATGGAGGCAGCAGACACGGATAGAAACGTTCTGTGTGTCATTCTGAAGGAAGATATTCCTGTCAAATACCTACCAATAGAGATCATAAATATTCTCAAGAAGAAAACATACATGGAATATCCAACGGAAGAAGAACATATGGCGTTATTCTGGAATAGATTAAGAGCAACACTTTCTCGTGAAACCTGATAATATGTTTCATTACTTAACTCTTATCGACACTATGAAACTGTTCTGATTTATCAAATTGTTCTTAAAGCACATTTAGATTTTTTCACATATATATACGTTCAGATCTTTTTCTACACATGTATATAACTGTAATAAAAATGAGAATCAAAGTCTTTGAATAATGGATATTGACTCAGTCAAATGTTATTCAATAAATCAACCTATGGATAAATAAATTTACTTTAAAATAACATAGAATATTTATCATGTAACACTTTGTGTTTGTTTGTTTGTTTTGTTTGCTAATTATGAAGTACATGTATATTGTGCTTGTTTGAATGTATCTATGAGATATTGTATATATGTACAAGTTTCTACAATAAACTGTTATCCTTTTTCTTTCTTTTCATATCTAGATATTTTGTAGATCTATATGTTTATTTTTTAAAGATCGAAATCAATTCAGTCATTTTCATTTTACTGTAATCAAGTATGTCCTGATATTAAATTTCAAATAGTGATCGATGCAAAGCAGCAAGATCTGGTCCACGATATATAATTGTTATTATTTCAGGGAAAAAAAACCATACATAACGAGTTCATGGACTGTCCCGGAGAAACTGTATACTATCATTCATGAAGTTGCAGTTGTTTTGTTTGTTGTTTTTATTCTGTAAACTTTTTGTCATTAGCTTACAGTACAGATTTCAATAATGAAATTAATGATATCAATATGTCAATAAAATGTTTTAGTACCAAAATAACAAGTTAATTTTTAGTAGCGAAATAACATATCTTACAGTTCTAAAATAACAATTTTCAGTATCGAAATAATAACCACATTAATGAATTAGGAAAAAATCTGTAAATAGATCTTCAGATTCTGCTATTGTATAGGAAAATTGTAAAGAAAATATATATATCACGAACAATAGAAAGTTTTACTGGTCAGTAAGGTAATAAGTGCGGTAGCAAATAAAAACGAGACTTGAATTTAACCATTTAGGTCAATTCGTTAATTTTACTTTCCTTAAACAGTTCGAAAACAATAGAAGGTGAAAAATGCGTTACATGTGATAGGATAAATTTCCGGCTAAAGTCAGTCTGGTTCATCGGAATAAAAGAAGTGTCCAGAACGTCATTCTGGTTTTACTCATGTCAATGGAGAACTAGTCATAGCTCGGTCACCCGGTGTATTCAAAAGACAATCTAATGTAAACATTATATATATAAGGAAGTATAATGCAATACAAGTATGTTTCTATTCGACCGTGTATCATACACTGAATGGTAGTGTTGAATATTTTTTCTGCAATTTGACCGAGTGACTTAATTATTGACATTATATAGAACATAAGATTTATACCAAATATGGTAGTAATCTAATAGAGTTGCCACCACAAGATTAAGTTAGCTTTGAAACATATAGAACAATAACAAAGTATGTAAATCATATTACATATAGATTAGCGTTTTACTTCAGTGACGTGCATTTTGAAATTAGCGCTGTTCTTGGATAAAAGTATACGACTTACTGTATAAATTCCCTATTTCGTATAAAGAAACCATTGCTTGTGTCATGCTTTCCACGTGCAAGTGCGATGTCATTTGAAAGTTATATACTGATGATTAAACTACAGGGGTCTTCAATGTATTAAGCGGAGTCACGCATATTAATAACCAGCACGGCACGTGGTCACAAAAATCTATTGTACATGCATATTTTTATACCTGTAGTTTTTATGCATGAATAAAACTTAATATTTGATCAGTTTTGAAGTCAGGTACATTTGAAATGAAACTAAAGTCTCGAGTAACTGAATTCTTCAACCTTTGACTTTCAATGTATAGTGTGGTACATGTATAACTGTGTTAAATTTGTAAAATTTTTACATTATACAAAAGTGGTTTTTTGTATATGGTATTGGAAGGGTCATGCATTTGAATATTTGCCCCACCCTAATCTATTTTTTCACTGTATAAATTGTGACTTTGTCTTGATTTGGTTTTCTTGAACCTTAACAGAGCACTTGTTTCTAAAAATAACATATAAATATGGAACTTGGTTTAAACAGAAAAGTTACAGTACATTGTATATTTTTCTCCTAATGTTTTAAAAGTTTCTACCAGCTCCTAATTGATAATAGATAAGATCACCTTTAACAGTGGTAAAGTCTTTGTGCTTATAATTTATCATTCTTGTTTATTGATCAGTTGCCATATCAGACAAACTTAGGCTAAATGAAGTTCATTTTACTGAGATATTTAAAAAATTTCAGTTCCTTTAAGTCCTCATAAATGTAACCCCAGATAAATAAATATTGTTTTGATATGTTGAGGGATAGAATGAGGGTCAGTAACAATAAGGAAGTTCAAGTTTCTGTTTTAAACTTTTAATCACTCCAAGTCACAATTAGGTTCCAAGCATCTTTAAGCAATACTAAAACTATCCAACCTAGGGGAACTGTATAATCTAGTCACAACTAGGTTAATATCAAACACATGGATTTATTCAGAGTAGAAACAATCCAACTTCTGGTATTGTATTTCAAACAGGGTGCACTCAAAGGTCACATTTTTTGCATTTACTAGTATTAATAAGCAAACATAAAAACACTACACAATTATTAATTCTATCAGCTTTGTTGCAGTTAAGATTTAACATCAAAGCCTCACTTGTGTATCTCACTTTCAAGATATAAATATGTTTGTTATCTATACAAAATCATTCTTTTAAGTTGCTTTTTGTGACTAGAAAGTTACGTGTGTAGCGGTTTTCACATTTACTATTGCTTGAAACTACATGTTCTTAAAAACAAATGTTTTATCACTATACATTACAGTATCCACAAAAGATGCTTCATTATATATTTTCCTGCTGATACACACGGTAAATTAACTTAATACTGCTTTCAATTCAAGATACAAAATAAGTGTGAGACAAAAATGACTTAAAATATATAAAATATTTCTTAACATTAAAGCATCAACTCTCCACTATGAGTAATTTCGAAGGGAATGTAGATCATAACATGGTTTGGGCAAGGTTTTCTGGTAAGATTTCAATTATAAAGATTAGGGCAAGGTTTCTGTTAATCAAGGTGAGGACAAGTATTGTTATCAAGGCTAAGGCAAGGTTTCTGTTATCTAGGTTAGGACAATGTTTATGCTATCAAGGTTAGGGCAAGGTTTCTGTTATCAAGGTTAGGGCAAGGTTTCTGTAAGTATGGTTAGAGCAAGGTTTCAGTTATCAACGTTAGGGCAAGGTTTATATTATCAAGGTAAAGGAATGGTTTCTGTTATCAAGGTAGATGAGAGGTCTCTAAGATTTAGAGTAAAACATTTGAAAACACACAAACAACAAAGTTACTGTAGAGGTACTTATAAGAAAACATATCAATAAAACCACCACAATACTAGGGAAAACATAGTGCTTTATTTCGTTTTAGTTTTGAGTTTCGTATATCAATCAGTAGCTTCTCCATTTATGTTTTCAACACTTAATATATGCCTTCTTAATATGAGTGCATCCATACATCAAATTAACAACACATTAATCCAAGTTGTCCAAGTTGTCACTAACCAGTCTTATAAACAAAATAATAATTTTACTGTATACTTTAACATCACTGAAATAATTAAATAACATGTAAAATATACGCTTAAATACTTAAATAAAACAATATTCTTGATTTCTAAGTAACAATAGTTCAATATGTCTTCTTAAAAAATAATGATACAGACTTTACATAATTTATTTCAAGTTCATACCTTCTATTGGAATAACAAACTATGGCCCTTAAAAGGAGCCAAAGGATTTGTTAAAACTGAAAACACAGAAAATATAAATACAATGTAATCTTGTATACCAGTACATTTCTTAAACATAAAAAGGGCAATAACCCACGGTAATCATCACAGTTAATAGGTACAGCTAGGCTGGGTTTTACATTTCATACTTGTCCAATCATACATGTCTTGACAGGGCAGTGAAACTTTGCTATACTGTATAAATATAAAATGTCTGTCTAATCAAGACATCAATCAGCTTGGAGATTTATCAACACTGGTGAATACATTCAACTTATTTTTCAGTAAAGTCACTTCAACTGGCAAAGCTTCAAATTGTTCTCCATCTATAGAATACCACAGTTCTTCTCCCTGTAAATAATAAAACATAAAATAATGCCATACTTCTATATATAACACACAGATGTTTCATTCTCACTCTCTTTTTTCTAGCCACATTATAGCTTTAATTGTTTACAACAGATAATAAATTCACCAATCCCTTGCTATTACTGGAATGCCACCAATATTATACCTAGGTAACATGTATATAAGAATAGCTTTATATCATATTTATTTTATTTTGCCACATCAAGATAAATATCTGTTGAAAAATATGAAAATGACAAAATATCATTCAAGAAGAAAACACTTCCATTTTTTATATTTATTGATTTTTTTTATTTAACCTTTTTTCAAATGAAAATCAAATAATCTCCATACTGCCATCTATCCATATATCAAGTTTCATTAAAATATTTTCAGTACTTTTTGCGTTATCGCGGGATCCAGTTTTGTGGACGGACGGACTGACGGACGGACGGACTGACGGACGGACTTTCTAACAGGACAGTAATTATGTGGCTACTCTATTGTTCTCTCTATTGTTCTTTTTAGCCACACAAAAGAAAATAGCCACATAAAAGCATTACGGAATGAATGACATCAAAGAGAAAGAACAGTTACCTATTGTCCCTCTAGCCACATAATTACTCTCCTGTGAGTGCGGACAGACGGACAGACGGACGGAGGGTAAACCTAAAGTCCCCTCCGGTAAACCGGTAGGGGACTAAAAAAATAAGTTTAACTATGTAAAATCAATAATCTACAATGTAAAATCAATGACTTACAATGAAAAATCTATGATTTACAATCAGGCAGCTTGGTGGAATGTAACTTTCATTAAGAAATTATAAGGGGATAAAGCTTCAAAGTCTTAACATTGTAATTTTAAAGCATAAATACACAATGCCTTGACATTAAATGTCATCATTGTAGATTACAAACATATACTGATGTTATCTGAACATAATATCTATTAAAGAATTGTAAGAGCATACATTTTTAACTTTAGGTGTAAACTTCACTTTTCTACACAATATTTGTTTATTGTCATCACTGCCCACTGACCAAACAGATGCATTAAGTCGTCTCCATCTGCAAAGAGTAAACATGTTAAATTAATTAATGATTTACAGTATTTAGAATGGAACAAAAACACTTTAACAACTTCTTGTGCAGGTCAGTGAGAGTTGTTCTTTTTTATGACACAACAACACCGTATAGGTGATATTGCAATTTTCTAGCCTTACTGGTCAAAGACAACCCATTGTGCCCTTCCATGAATATTTCAGGCACGAACCTGACTAAAACCACCGCTGTTCCATAATCTTGCTGGATAGCCTCCTCACATGAAAGAATCCAAAGTCTGTGTCAGAATTCGAATTCCCAGCAGTGAGGCGTGAGTTGTTTGAAGTAAATGACCTGAACCACTTGGCCACAGACGGCCATCTGATGTTTGGTAAGTATGCCAAACTTGTTAAGGTAGGTAGTAAATATTAATGAAGAGATCTGCAGGTAAAATTACATATGCTCATCTTGCGTAGAAGTTTGTACATCTATCCACTCTTACTACCTCAGTATTCATTTACATGCAAAATACAATGTAACAAATATATGACTTTAGCAGTGAAAATCAGTAGGAAATATTGCATACCCTTCGGAAATGAAGTCAGTTTTAGAAATGTTTTCCGGTCCTAGTCCCATCTGGATTCCCTTTATTTTCTGTAACAAAATGATAAAAACTATTATCACAAAATGATAAAAATAGGGCTTTTTTTGGTTTGGCTTTACATGGCACTAACACGGTCATATGGCAACCTTCCAGCATTACTGGTAGATACTACTTAGTTAAAGCACAAACAGACATCTTAGTAGAGCCACCCACATTCTGTAAGCTAGCTGGATAGCTTCCTCTCAAGGTAAGAATCCAATGTCCTTGGTGAGATTCGAACCCACAGTGGTGAGGGGCAAGTGGTTGAAGTCAGTGACATTCACCACTTGGCCACAGACACCCCTAAAAAACATTGAATATACCTGTGTAATTAGAGCTTTTATAACAGCATTATGACCATAAGAATGTAAAACATTTTTTCCAAAAAAAAAATCATTTACTGCAATCAATTATCTGGAAATATTAAACAGCTTATGTTTAAATGTTAACTTATTGTGAAAAGACATAATCTCATATCAAATAACATTATATGTTGATCTATTAATTATTACAATATAATAGATTTGCATCTCAAGTTATACTTCACCGACATTACTGGTGCCACATTTCACATAACAATTAAAGGTATAAAGTGTCATAATTTACCTGTTGAGGTTTATCTAAATTAGAGGTGAGTGTTATCTCAACTGTTTCTACATCTTCCTTCACTAGAACCTCATTCTCATATTCATCTTCTTCCTCTTCAATTTGAACAGCTAAAACATGAAAACATGTTCTTATGATTTACTGTATACAAATGATAATTATTCCTGCTGCTAGAAAAATATTTCTGAAAAATATGAGGGAATCCTTATAACAAGAGGGCCATAATGGCCCTGGATTTCTCATCTGAGATACACTACTAGAAAAGGGTCACACATCTTATTTTTCAATGATTAAAAGTCAGTAATAAGGTCACACTGGGTTTGTCATTTCTAACCCAAGCTGTATTTGCAGATGTCTGCTAAAAAATACTTCATGACAAATATCTGTAATTTCACACTAGATCAAAGTGCTCAATATGACAAAGATTTTTTTTATCTTTTTTATTTTTGATGTTATAGTTTCCAAAAAGTTACTCATTTGCAATTTACCAATAATGTGGCTTTAATTATGTGCTTTACTTTGTAATTCTATATAAACTAAGAGACCCCAAGGGCTGGGTCAATTTTGACACAAGGGGCATGATTTATATAACTTTTGTAGAAACCAAAAGGTGATTCTATATGCAAAATATCTAAACTCTGGGCACTGAACTTTCAAGAGATGAATATTTTTATGTTTTTATCTTTCAAAATTATAATACCAAATACACAACAGAGGGCAGTGAACAGTATAAAGGAAGGTCTGACTGAATGGACAAGCAACCCAACCTTATATGGTGGCACAAATTTGGTGCTTTAACCAATTGAACTCAAAGGATTAGCTGAGATTAAACATCTATTTTAGGTCATTTTGAAAAAAAATACTCTGGTGAACTTTGCTACAATGACAAGAAAGTAAGTCCTTGAAACTATTTACATCAACATTATATAATAAAATATACCTTGGACTGGTTTCTTAGAACCTGTTATTTTGTACAGAAGACTGGTAATCCAGCTTTGTTGTTGTTTCTGTGGCTCCTTTTTCTTTTCAGTTCTTTTTGGTACATCTGTCTCTTTGGCTTCCATGTATTCTAATGTACCTCCAACAACAGGAGGCCATCTCTTCACTGTAGCCCACATGTACGTAAATCTTTTCTTCAAAGGACCAAGGAACCAGTACCTAGAAGTAACAAAGTCAAACATATACATGTACATTGCTTAAATCTGTATTGTCATCACATCTAAATGTATTTCAAAATTTTACCCAACAATTGTAAAAGAATTTGAAATCTAAAATGTTTAAATACAAAGTGGCATAGAATCAACATAGAAAATAAAGTAAATGATTAATCCTTTATACCAACTGACAGATTAATAAACTTGATTTACAATATGCAAGTACATGTATTACATTATTCCAAAGTAAGAAACAAATATTCTAATCTGGTATCCTTAATCACATGAACAACAACTAAACCAAAGATATAAGATTAAATATATATGGAAAACCAACTGATTACATACTTGGGTGTTTTCACCTTTGCATCATTGTAGGCTCCCATCTCTAAACTACACAGAGCATATGTTGACCTACCATCTTCTCCCTAACCATCAGAAAGGAAAAAATAATATATGAATACTAGGGATGTGCGGTATTACCGGTATACCGGTATACCGCGGTTTCGTTCAGACGCGGTACGTACCGGTACGACCCCTAGGAATACCGGTTTTTTAATTTATATAATTTAACATAATATTTTTGTAAGATTCGGACGTTATTTACCCTGTAATCTGTGTTTCAACTTTCAACCTAAATTAAAGTGGAATTCCAAGTCTATTTTTAGAGCAGCAGTAAATGCACAGTATAATACTCTAACGAATAATTAGTCGCGGAAAGGTCGGATCGTTTCCCGGTTGTTTTTCATATTTATTATGTAGTGTAAATACATTTCATCCGCCGACATTTTTATAATTTCTATATATCATTCTTCATTTAAATGCATTAAAAGGGACACCCATGTTAGTGCTCAGTCTAAGGCTAGTAAACATGTTGACGTATTGACGAGTGGCGACAATAACAAAACGTAAAGCATTTAGACATAGCCCAACTTGTAAACAGCTCATACCGTCATGGACGAATTCACCACGGTCAAAAATCCAAAGGGGAAATCGGATATTTGCTCTTTCTTTTATTTATTATTTTCCAGTCAGGTAGACAGATGTTAGTTGAAAGAAATAAAGATATTAATCTGTTTTTCTAAAATGTATTGTGTTTTATCAAAATGTTTAAACATTCTTATGGCAGTTGGTCTTAGTTTGCATAAGTTAAACATTAAAAAGTGTCTTCATAATACCGTGGTACATACCGCGGTACACAGGTGAAATACCGCGATATACCGCGGTACAAAAAAATTGGTGGTACCCATCCCTAATGAATACACAGTGATCAAAATATCAGATTATATGTGACAGCATATACAGTGATCAAAATATCAGAATATATGAAACAGTATATACAGTGATCAAAATATCAGAATATATGAAACAGTATAAACAGTGATCAAATATATGTGACAGTATATACATTGGTCAAAATATCATTATATGTGACAGTATATACAGTGATCAAAATATCAGATTATAATTATGTGACAGTATATACAGTGATCAAATATGTGACAGTATATACAGTTATCAAAATATCAGATTATATGTGACAGTATATACAGTGATCAAAATATCAGAATATATGTGACAGTATATACAGTGATCAAATATATGTGACATTATATACAGTGATCAAATATATGTGACATTATATACAGTGATCAAATATATGTGATAGCATATACAGTGATCAAAATATCAGAATATGTGACAGTATATACATTGGTCAAAATATCAGATTATATGTGGCAGTATATACAGTGATCAAATATATGTGATAGCATATACAGTGATCAAAATATCAGAATATGTGACAGTATATACAGTGATCAAAATATCAGATTATATGTAACAGTATTTACAATGATCAAAATATCTAAATATATGTAACAGTATATACAGTGATCAAAATATCAGATTATATGTGACAGTATATACAGTGATCAAAATATCAGATTATATGTGACAGTATATACAATGATCAAAATATCAGAATATATGCCAGTATATACAGTGATCAAAATATCAGACATTCAACATTATTTTCTTGAATCAACAGTCAAGACTTGACATGAATTCCCAAAACATCACAAAACATACATTTTTGTATGTGCTACATCCCAGGACTAAATATCAAAAACCTTTGATCTTTGATTCAAATAACATCATCTTTTAAACCTCCTTTAAAATATATAGTTTTTTATGTTAATAAACAAATCTTTATTAATAGTATCTTAATGATTAATTATCAGCAAAATAATTGACAATACATGTACAGCAGTACACAGGATTATTTTTATCCACACCTTACAGTATTTCTAAACTCTTACCACTGAGTAGGTGGAGTTAATCTTTTCTTTTATATCAGTATAGTAATTTTACCTGTAATTTGATAACATCAATCTTTTGAGTAGCACCTTTAACAATAGCCATAGCTGAGTCTAACATTCTTCTGTAAAGATATGTGTTTAATCTTCTCATTGACAAAGTTGAATATTGAAATTGTTGTGGTTAAAACAGGATAAATGAATAATCTGATCATACATTTTACATTAAAGTGATATTATGCTCATATTTTCTTACTCAAGTTAAGCTGAATTGACTTTATATTTCTAAACTGTTTAAATGGTGTTTGACCAACAGTTGATATTGGAAAATATTCGGGATAAAATTATAAATCTGCCTAAAATATAAAAAGACTGCCCCACTCTTTTTATAAACTGAGCGTTATATAGGTAAATTGTAATAGATATTAACAGAAATTTTATTTGGATCTGTGCACTTTTTATTGTTTATTGGAGCTGAATTATTAAATTAAAAGGAATTATGGCAAAATGAAAATTTATTTGGATATTCATCTGTTCACTCACTATGTACCCTTGGATGGGCATAAAATCACTTTAAAAGCTAAATTTATAGTTAACAAAATTTCAATAATAAACAAGAACTGTCGGAGGACAGTAACTCTCGACTATTCGAAAATTTGTCACAAGGGTGTTTCATTGAGTATAATAATGCTTAGCTATATGAATACATAAAATTGTCCGAAAAGGTACAAACCCTTCAGTAGGTATGGAGATACTGTCTAACAAGCAAAAATTTACCTAGAATTTCTAAGTAAAAAAAGGGGCATAATTATGCAAAAAAGCAAATCAGAGTTATGGGACTTGTGCCATTTATCTTAGATAATCACAGAAAACAAGTATGTGAAGTTTCAATCCATTCCCTTCAGTTGTTATGGAGTTACAAGCTTACACGCAAAAACTTAACCAAGAATTTCTAAGTTGAAAAAGGGGCATAATTATGTAAAAAAGCAAATCAGAGTTATGAGACTTGTGCCAATCATCTTAGATAATCACAGAGAATAAGTGTGTGAAGTTTCAATCCATTCCCTTCAGTAGTTATAGAGATACCAGCTTACACGCAAAAACTTAACCAAGAATTTCTAAGTTGAAAAAGGGGCATAATTATGTAAAAAAGCAAATCAGAGTTATGGGACTTGTGCCAATCATCTTAGATAATCACAGAGAATAAGTGTGTGAAGTTTCAATCCATTCCCTTCAGTAGTTATGGAGATACCAGCTTACACGCAAAAACTTAACCAAGAATTTCTAAGTTAAAAAAGGGGCATAATTATGTAAAAAAGCAAATCAGAGTTATGGGACTTGTGCAAATCATCTAAGATAATCACAGAGAAACAGTGTGTGAAGTTTCAATCCATTCTCTTCAGTAGTTATGAAGATACCAGCTTACACACAAAAACTTAACCAAGAATTTCTAAGTCGAAAAAGGGGCATAATTATGTAAAAAAGCAAATCAGAGTTA